TTTTCCTCCATTGTATCCCAATGGGAGTCCGTTGGGACAGTCTGGACTCTGGGTCCGATTGCGGAAAAACCGTAAGGCCGAGATGAAATACGGGCACATTGTCTGAAAGACAACACCCGTGGCTACGTTTTGAGGCCTTTTTGGTCCCGCTCTGCCCTACGGATTGGTCGTGAGAGGGAGGAGTTTGACTTTTTTTCAATTTCCTGACTGCTCGGTTAGCCTGTGATGATGTCACCAGAGTGGAGGGCAGATTTGAGGATAATTCAGATTTTTACATAAACGTCAATAGCGATTGTGGTCAAATGGTGTGAGATCGGGCCTCGTGGCTCCAATATGTCGTAGTCCCGTATTTCGTGACACATTTAATGTTCGAATGAGGTGTCTCGGAGGTGGTGGGGCTGAGCGATTAGGCCCGGAAGTGGCCTATTTTTTGGGGCCGTTTTTGGCCTTCCCATAAATTTCCTATGGGAAGGCATTTCGGCTTTTTTCGCCATTTATTAAAAAACGCTGGGACTAATGAGAGAGAAAAATACAAGCACACGTTACATGGTTGGTTCGGACACACATGGCTTTTATGGGCCCGACCCGTCAAACCGTGTGGGACTAGTTAGCGACTGAAATTTAAGCACAAACGAGAGAACTACAAGTTGCGGAACAAGAAAATTTATCACGAAATTTTAAGGGGGAAACTGCTCACTCCAGGAACCCCAAACGGTGCCAGATCGGGCCTCATGGCTCTAATATGGCAGAGGCCCGTCTTCTGTGACCCGTTCAGTGTTCAAATGAGGTTTGCCAGATACCAGTAGGGCTGACCATTTAGGCCCCATTTAGGCCCGTTTTTTGGCCTCTCCATTAATTGCATATTAGACGGCCTTTCGCCCTTTTTCGCCTTTTTTTCTGAAAACGCCCAGACTAATGAGAATGTTGTATACGCGCACGTGTCCCTTGGTGAGGACGTACGTGCGTGCCAATTTTGGGCCTGATCCGTCAAACTGTGTGCGACAAGTCACACACCGAAAATCGAGATGGAAATGGGAAAACTATAAGCCATGGACTAAGTATTTACAAGAGTAATATGGAGGCCTGACGCTGGCAGTGGCCCCCCTAAATAACCATATGTTGGTTGGTGATCATTACAACCTGCCTTAGGGCCACAGGAAGAGAACAGGGCCGTAGCTGCTGCAGCTGTATTGAAACCATAGCTGAGTAAACTTTGACCGAGTCCGAGGAATATAATGCATCTGGAGAAACCTGTTGGGTTAGTGCTCCAACCCAATAGGTTTCTCATCAGGTCTCTCATAATATGGTTCCAGTTCAGGATGAACTTAAGAGACTTTTTAACAACTGGTCCCAGGTTTTGGAGATTTGAATTAATGGGCCGGGGGCTACTTAGGATAGAGATCAGCGATAGAAACAGTTTAGATTTAGTAGCCCACATAGACCCTGTCTTGCTTTCTTGCAATGAGATCCAGTAATTCAACTTGGAGATTGGCTGCCCAGTAATAAAACAGGAAGTCAGGCAGGCCCAGTCCTCCCGCACTCTTCAGCCTCTCCAATGAGCTTCTTTTAATCCTTTGGGGGAGGTGCCCCAGACAAAGCCAGCAATGTGACTGTTTAATGGTTTAAATCATGACTTGTTCAGTAGAACTTGAATAATCTGAAACAAGTATAAAAAACGTGGTAGTACTGGTATTTTGGTTGTGTTAACTCATCCCGCTAAAGTGATGCAGAGAGCTGACCATTCAAAGAAGTCCTGTTGCTTAGTGTGTTTTAACAACGCTTAAAGGTTGTGATCATAGAGGTCCTATTATGATCCCCACTAAGGTGAAAGCCTGTTGTTGTCATTTGAATGGGAAGCTGGTGTAAGCCTTGGATCCTGCTAGTGAAAGTCTAGCCTAAAACATTTGATTGTGGAAGTCTGCAGAAGTTGTCTGAAGCTGCAGATGCTGCTCTATTCACAGCTTAAAAATCTCAGACAAACTGTGACTTCCTGTTGGGTATGTGCTTCTCCACCCCCCACCACCACACTGAGCTCCTCATCAGAAAAGCTTGTGACAGGAAGTTCTCATTTCCTGCCTCAGCTTGTCAGTCTGTCGTCTTTCGGAGCTCACAGATCGTTTCTGTTCAGGGGAAAGCTGAACTGTTTAACAGTTTCTGACAGCAGAAATGGCTCAGAAAGGAGTTCAGCTGGACACAGAAAGCATCTCCTGCTCCATCTGCCTGGATGTCCTGAAGGATCCGGTGACTATCCCCTGTGGACACAGCTACTGCATGAGCTGCATCAAAGACCACTTTGATGGAGAGGATCAGAAGGGAGTTCACAGCTGCCCTCAATGCAGGAAACGCTTCACACCGAGGCCTGTCCTGGTAAGTAGCACCATGTTAGCAGCTTTAGTGGAGCAGCTGAAGAAGACTGGACTCCAGCCTGCTCCTGCTGACCACTGCTATGCTGGACCTGAAGATGTGGCCTGTGATGTCTGCTCTGGGAGAAAACTGAGAGCCAGAAAGTCCTGTTTGAGCTGTGTGGCCTCTTACTGTGAGGAACACCTTCAGCCTCATTATGATGTGGCTCCACTAAAGAAACACAAGCTGGTGGAGCCCTCCAAGAAGCTCCAGGAGAACATCTGCTCTGTCCATGATGAGGTGAAGAAGCTGTTCTGCCGCACTGATCAGAAGTCCATCTGTGTTGTCTGTGCGATGGAGGAGCATAAAGGCCACAACACAGTGTCAGCGGCAGCAGAAAGGACTGAGAGGCAGAGAGAGCTGGAGGGGAGGCGGCAACAAATCCAGCAGAGAATCCAGGACAAACAGAAAGAAGTGGATCTGCTCCAGCAGGAGGTGGAGGCCATCGATCAGTCTGCTGACAAAAC